TTATTTTACATGTACATTTTCTAATAAGTGACTTGACTATAATTTAACATAAGGTGACATTCGTGAAGGTTCTATATTCTGACCTTTTAATGACACTCTATTTAGACAAGATTTTTCTTGATTGGTTTGTTTTTTCCCCTCTCAGATTGGATGGACATAATAGAGCCTTATGACATGTTCAACGAGCCCTCAAAATAAAAATTTGGGATAATGTTGTGAAAAGAAATTTAAGAATCAGTTGATATGGGTGCTAGCTGTACAGGGTAACAGTGAAGGTTCCTGGTATTTGATACTATCTTTCCTAACTTTGCAAGAAACAAATGTGAACTGAGCTGAGAAGGGTTAGGTGGATGCATTCTTTGCCCAATGGTCTCAAAGGTTGTTCTCTACTTGGCTGCACATGAGAATCAATAGATGAATTTTAAAAATACTGATACCAGGCCCATTTCCCAGAGACTGTGATTTAAAACTGATCTAGGGTGCAGCCCAATCATTGGTAGTTTTTTTTGTTGTTGTTTGTTTTTTCTGTTTGTTTGTTCCAGCTCCCTAAGTATTCCTAACGTACAGCCAAAGTTGAAAACCAGTGATCTAGAAAAAGCTTTTCTTGAATAGAGTAATATTTACGTGGAGAGAAGAGTCACTAATCACGAGTCTTAAGGCTCTGCTTCACACTCTGACCTGCTGAACCTTTTCTAGAGCTTGGGTACAAACACAGAGAACATGCACAAAAAATCTTCAGAATATGGAGTTGGAACATGAATGGAAAACCCGTATCCTGGATAACAGAATTCATAATCAAAAATACTAAGCTGAATCTTTATAACTACATAGAATGTGACCTACACTTGGGGATTAAATCCATCATACAAGTACAGAAGAGAGAAAGTAGGTCTAAGGGTGGCTCTTATGAAAGATACCTAGAAAATGTTCATTGACAATAACTCCTCAGTTTTCAGTATATGTGATATGAGTACCTAAGAAGCTACTTTAACTTAGACCCAATTCTTCTTTTAAATGGACTCCATGGCCCTGGGCTAGTTTACTTCTCCGCACTTCAGTTTACTCATATATATCAATCACTTTTAGCCATGGTTCTTGAACTTTAATGTGCCTACAACTCTCACCTGAAGATCCTGTTAATATACAGATTCATATTCAGTGGGTCTGGGACATAACTGAGATTCTCCGATTCTAACAAGCTCCCAGAAGCTGCTACTGCTGCTGGAACACAGATGAGTGCTTAGGAGACTTATGAGGACTAGTGAAATGACCTACATAAAGTGCTTGGCACCCTACAGAAGAAAAGACTTAAAAAGAAAATGATAAAAACATGTTTAAGACCTAGACATTACATGATCCAATCCTCCTTTCTGTTCCTTCAAAAGAGTGGATCTAGAGAAGTTAGGCTAGGTTACCTCCTAGTAGCTAAAGGTATATGATGGAGAAGAGGGATAAGACTAATGCTTTTTGATCAAAAAAAGTATAATCAAGATCCATGGGTAGAAATTTAAGATACCTTTTAATTCCCTACAAGGAGAACCTTCTAACAATACATGCTGTTCTACAACCAATTAATCTTCTTGACAGCGAAGTCTCCAGTTATAAAATACAAGCATAGAGCAATTGACATTAAAGAGGATAGTCATACCTCAGGTCACTTAACTGTAAAACAGCCTGGCTATCTAAAGAGGCATCACACACTTAATGTGTTACAAAAAGTTAAAGTAAAATAAAAAATAAACCTCATGATTTCCCTCCTCACCCCTACCTTCTTCCTGAAGACTTCTACTTGTACATGGAATTTTTAGGTCAAAAACTCTTTGAAGCTTCCTTAGTTGCCCTTCTCTCACCTTTCACATCTCTTCCTTCAATAAATACTTGTGGCTGTACCTGCAAATTGCGTTCATAATCCAATTACTTCTCATCAACTCCATTGCCACTATCGCTGTTGAAGTCACTGTCACCTCTGTCTGGATTTCTGAAATAACTTCCTAAGAGGTTTCTCTGACTTCACCTTTGCTCTTCAACATAGCAGTCAAAGTGTTGTCACTTCTCCACTCAGTACCTTCTAATGACTTCGTATCTCATTCAGAGTAAAACCAAAGTCTTTATAATGGTTTACAAGACTCTGCATGTTCCACCCTCTCTAACTCTTGACCATATGTCTTACCACTCTCCATCTCTTTCACGCCTCTCCAGCCACCTCTGAAATCACCTTTTCTAGAATCATATCAATAATGCTCCCACCTCAGGGCGTTTGCACTTGCTCTTCCCTCTGCCTTAAAGGCTAGTCTCTGAGGCCTGCAAGTTTATGTCCCACATCAGTAACATATAAAACACTATAAAAGCAACCAACAGCACATTCTAATTGCTTTCTATGGACGAAAGTGCTCACACTCAGCACTTTACTTTCCACAAGTTGGTACAGATGACAGACTGTGTGAGGCACTTCAGTTCCAATTGTAACTTAGGCTTATTTTTTAAAATTACAATTGCATCAAGTCCTCTGTGAACACCAAGTCAGGGAAATCTGGGTGCTGTACTCCCCCAACAGGGCACTATAACTACCTGGACAAAAAATAACCTTTCTGATGGCTCAGGCCCACTGGTCTGTGCCCTAGTCTTTCCACACCTCTGAAAAAATGAGTAAATTTCCTAGATGCAGGGTCACTTTGCTCTCCACAGGAAATTATATCTTTTTTCTCCTTTTATAACCAAAGTCCTTAGTTGAGCTTGAGGAAACCTAGCTATCACTGGGTGGCCGTGAATGGACAATAACAGAGAAAGCTAGGACATGGCATTCAGGTGGATTCCTTTACAGAAAAAGAAATCATCCATTTACAGAGATGACTCTCTCTAGAAACCCATGTCTCAGGGCTGCTGTGCATGGTTGTTCTGGTTCACGCTATCATAGCAGGGACATTATTCACATGGTGTTGTGTGGTGCAGCTTTTCTAGCTACTCAGCTTTTAGGGTTCAGAGATTAAAGTCACTCTTGCTTCAGAGGGATGAAGACAAATGCATCTGATGTAAGAATTAATGTTGACAAGGCAAGGAAGGAGGGAAATGAAGGGAGATTTGGAAATGAAGGGAAAAGCGTCCTGAAGGAGAGGGTGCACTTAGGATGTAATCTTTGGCCTCGTTTCCTCTCACCTCGCACTTGAACCCACCACCCCCACCCCTTCCCTCATGAGCTGGCTACTTTCCAACACAAACCAAAGAGCCAGAGGGGCATGGGGCTACTTCAAAACCCTGTGTCCTAGTTTAAGAAAGGAGAGCACTAATATCAGGAATTCAGAGCAGCAAGGTCGACTCCTATCTATAGCTATTCCTCAGCCAAGGAATCAGATTTACTCTTGTAAGAAGTCCTCTTAGTGAATCTTTCTCAGGGGTTGCGTGGTGTAGGGGCTGAAGAGAACCTGAAAACACAGGATCCAGCCCCTGGATTAAAAGGAGCAGAGACAGAAAACTGGCCAAAAATATGTGATTCAAAGATAGGCCTCATCCATCGTCTCTTGTAAAGCCAAAGACAACTGCCTATGTGGGATAACAAGGAAAACTCGTGGTCCGGTCATAGGCAAGGAAGTGAGATGTTTCAATACTAACACTTGCTTTGGGCAAAGCATGTAAAATAATTGTCTTGCTTCTGCTGCTTAAGAACGAACTTCCCCAACTTAGGACATCTTCGATAAACTTAGTTAATATAATCATTGGCAATGGAAAACAATATTTTCTTTTTCAATAGAAAAAAAGCCTCCAGTAGGGAAAATCTGATATAAACTTTTAAATTTTAGCAGATGACTTCACCCCACACACCCATCTTGAATATATCAAGGAGACACTATTTAAGTCTGGCTCAGTGTTGACACTCGTTATAAATCAAATAATTCTTTAATTTATCTTTTGGATAAATGGATTTTTATATAATAAATTGGTTTCAGCTCGTCCATGATACTTTGCAAGGCAATAGCTCATTTCCAATATTTATACATAGCAATATCAAGAGAAAGGCCATTTTCTCATCCCATTTTTAACAATCTAACCACACTATGCTTTTCTGGTAAGTACTTAGGTTGGGAGAATATTCGAGAAAACTCTTTCTCCAGGTGAGAAACATCTCAAGCAAACATTGGAAGGAATGCATTTTCCACTAGCCAGTAGTGGATGAGACGACCTGGGAGACACAAGGACCTCGGGAAAAGCAAATGGCTCCGCTAAAACTCCCTCCTCCAACCTTAATTGGTCAAATGCCAAAATAAATGAACTTTCCAAAGTTAAGAGCTTTGCAACTTTCACTAGGAATAACTACAGGTGCACAAGCCAGGACCGACGAGCCTACGGACCCCAGTGTGGCCGGCGGTAGTCGCTGGTCGAGCCCAGCGCCCAGGCCCAGGCCACCTCCACGCCGTGCGACCTGCCGGGAATGGGTTCAGGCCCGTCTGCCCAAGACGAAAAGCTCCCTGTCCCCGGCCCAACGCCGGATCGCGTCCCGCCCTTCTCACCCCAGACCAAGGAAAGGAACTAGACGCTCAGGAGAAACGATGAGCAGCACCCAGTGGGATTCGGCCCCAGCCCGAGGCCGTCCCCAACTCCCAACTTCCCAGAGTTTCCTTTGGCCTCGTCCCCCTTCCCACGGCTCCGAGGCCGCCTTGGCCTCACCTCGCTCTGAATGCAGATAGCCCAGGAAGTGGAGAGCGTAGCTCGGAGCTAGGGAGCCGCCCCCAGGAGCCCTGGCGATGGGAGCGCAGGTGGCGGGCGTGGTCCCTCCAACCCTGCCCCAGCCGACCCGGACTCGGCCTCCGTGCAGTAGCCACCGCCCGAGTCCCCGCCTGGCTACAGCATCAGGCCACAGAGCGATGGTTCTTGATCCCTCTCCTGGCTCGGTGGCCGCCCCCCGCCCTCTCCCAGTCCGCGTCGCTCTTCTGCCTCAGGCCCCGGTGCGGCCCCAAGTCCCAGCCCAAGGCCCTTGGGTCCCTCCAGGCGGCGGTGGCGGCACTCACCTGGGTCGCGGAGCCGGGGTCTGGCACGGTCCCGCAGGTGGTAGATGAAATCCTGGCAGCTGTCGTGCTCCAGGGCCCCACGGGCACAGAGCTCGGCCAGCAGCTGCAGCGCCTGGTGACAGAGCGCGTCCCTGGCCCCGGGCATCGCCCCCCCGCATCCTCGGACCGCGCCGGGCAGGCGGGCGCAGGAGACAGCCCTCCGCCTGCCAGCTCAGAGCCGCCGCTTCCGGGCCGTCCGCGCTCACCGCCAGGGACCCGCCGGGAAACGGTCCGAGCCCGATCCCGAGCCTCAGACCCAGCCGGCCCGGCCTCCCACCGGTTGCATGCAGCTCTTCGCCAGCCGGTCGGTCAGGTTTTCTCTGTCTCCCGCCGGGTCCCTCTGTCCCTCCCCCAACACCGAGGAGAGGCGGCGCCGCACAGCCCAGAGCGCCTCTCTGCTTGCGCTCCGCCCGCTACTCGCGGCCACCGCGGGGCGGGGCGGGGTCAGGAGTGCGCGCCGCAGGGTAGACTCGCGGCGGCCCCAGACGGGGACCTAGGGTACGCCCCGGCTCCTGGCCAAGCGGGAGACTTGGTTTGGGACCTCGCGCCCAGAGCGGCCGCGCCCTGGCTTGGGGAGTGTGAGCGTGTGCGCGCTCCGGGCGCTGGAGCTACTCCACCCCTCAGCCCTGATGCAAACCAAGAACCCGTTTCCACCACCCTGCGTGTGTCCGAAGCACGTTCTTGGATGCCTGGTGCGAAGACTGCAATCTGGACACACCCGCCAGATGCGCAGAACTGAGTCCCTATTTGGAACTTGGAAAGAGCTGCCTGGGTTTGAACCATGGGCCTATGGGTGTCAGATGCCCAAATGCAGGGTTTGGGTCCAAGAATCGCCAACAAAGGAAGGATTTCCCAAGCACAGGCCCTTTTCGACCACCGTGGTGATTTGGAGAAGGTGGAGGCTCTAGGTCAGAACTAAGATCAAATAAATAAACGACTCCCGGGAAAGACTCTGAGGCTTACCTGGGCGTCTTAGGTCTCGGTTAGTTTTCTAAGCAACCGTTTGGAAATCCAAACATTGCCAACGTGACTTCAGCACCCAAGGAGGAGTATCACAGAATCTTGGAGAGTTGGAAGGAACCTCAGGGCACCTTTCATCCACCCATCTTTTCAGCTTTTCAAGCAATAAAGCCTAGAAATAACCAGGAAGTACTGTGTGTGTGTGTGTGTGCGTATCGCTGTGCCACAAGCCTTTTAGGTGCATAATCTCATTTAATTCTGTACATAGTTCAACGAGGTCTGTGTAACTGTTATCCTCATTTTACCAATGAAAAACTGGGGGCAGGGGACTCACAAAGGTGTTACTTGCTCAAATTCACACATGATGAAGGTAGTTTTGATCTTCTTTCTTTCTCTTTTTTTTCTTTCTTTCTTTCTTTTTCTTTCTTTCTACTTTTTTCCTACTTTTTCTTTTGTCTTTTTTATAATACTGGTGTTCAGGCCCCCACTCTAGAACAATTACAGTAGGATCTCTAGAACTGGTAACTATCATTCTTAGCCATGAGGTTGTGCTGTCTCTACGGGCATTTCACAATTCATATTGCACAGAAAGGTAATTTGGGACCCCATAGAATGCTCACGCAACAGGCAAGCTTTGAAATCCTGCTGTCAATGGTACTAGGGCTTCAGGGAACTTATATGGGAATAGCAGAGAAAATGCAAAGCTGTAAAGGTAAAGATGCCTCCAGAGAGTTGCAAAGAGACAAGCAGAGGAAGGAGAAACCAGCTTTCAGGGAGCCTGTAGGGGAGGTTGAGCAGATGCTGTTTCTTCAAAGGGGGGAACCCCTAGAGAAGGAGAAACCCTGCATTTGGGCATCTGACACCCATAGGCCCATGGTTCAAACCCAGGCAGCTCTTTCCAAGTTCCAAGCAGGGACTCAGTTCTGCGCATCTGGCGGGTGTGCCCATGAACAGAGAAGGTGACACCAGAGATAGTGTGATGCTGGGGGTGGGGGTGGGGGAGCCGTATAGTAATGGTGAGAAGGTATGTGTGTTGAAGCACGTAAAAATATTACACTAATGCCATATGTCAGTGAGGAACTGAAAGCAACAAATTCAGTTAAAAAATGACTTTCATAAACCAAGCAAGAAATGATGAAGGCTTAAACCAGGCCAAAGGCATTAGCTGATTGCTAGAAACATCCAAATTTGAAAAACATTTCAAGTATTAAGTGACAAGATTGTAACCAATGGAATAAGAAAGAAGCAAAATGCACAAATGTTTCAAAACGTTACATGGGTCATATATATTCACACCCTAATAACACTTAGAAATGCAAGCCTAGAGTTTAGGAGAGAGGGAAGACTGGCAATCATCATTGGAAAGGTAGAAATTGAGTTGCCACATGGGATGGTTCCTTCAAGAAAGAAGAGTTGAAGAAATAAAAGAGCAGTTTGGAAGGCAGCAATCACAGAAGGAGGAAAGATTGTACAGAGGGGAGTCATAGTGGTCATGGGAGGAGTGTTTGGTAGAGGAGTGATCAACAACATCAACTGTAAACTCTCAAATATAGTTTAAGGAGAAAAAACTAAAAAGTGTCCTTTGGATAAAGCAGATAGTAAGACATTCAAGATTTAGACAGACTAGTTACAATGCAACCAACCTTCTACAAGTTAACATTTTTGTGCCTAGGGTTTCTCATCTTATTTCAAAGATAATGTGTATCTTTGGACTGTTGCAAAGATTACATAAAGCAATATGTTTAAAGTGCTTATAATAGTGCTGCCACATAGTATGGGCACAATCCATATGTGTTTTTGTTGTTTCTGTTATGTTTCTACTACAATGTACTAGGTGCTAAACACACTGTCTTAATCTATTACTTACAACATCCCAAAGTGGCTGATAGTATTATTTCCTATTTTACAGGCAAAGAAAGTAAAATCAGGTGGTTAAACAATGTGTTCAAGGACAAATTGACAGACTGTTTCCAAAGACAGCTACAGCCATCCCTCCCATTCCATGTGTCCTTTTGGAGTGTGTGAGTTAACTACTCTTCCCATCAACAAGTCAAGTCTATTCCCCTTCTCCTTGAATTTGGGCCTGCCTTGTGACTCACTTTATTCAACAGAATGTATGTAAGTGAAATTCTTAGCTGAGTCTAGACTTGAAAAGATCTTGCAACTTTTAAAGGATATCTTGCTGGAGAGGGGTCCAGAAGAATGAGGAAAAAATGTGGGAAAGGACATACTGCTATAGAATGAACTGTGTCCCCCGAAAATTCTGCTGTTGAAGCCCTAATTCCTGATGTCACTGTATTTGGAGATTGGACTTAATTAAGAATAAACTAGGTCTAAAGGTAGAGTCCTGATCCAATAGGATTAGTTTCTTTATAAGAATCATCAAACCAGTTGGCTATAAGTATTTGGGTTTATTTCTGGGTTCTCTATTGTGTTCCGTTGGTCTGTAAACCTATTTTCATACCAGTACCATGCTGTTTTGGTAACTATGGTCTTATAGTATAGTTTGAAATCACGTAATGTGATGCCTCCTGATTTGTTATTTTTGCTTAGTCTTGCTTTGGCTATGTGGGCTCTTTTTTTGGTTCCATATGAATTTTAGAATTGTTTTTTTGTAATTTTATGAAGAATGATGGTGGTATTTTGATGGGAATTGTGCTGAATTTGTAGATTGCTTTTGGTAGTATGGTCATTTACACAATATTAATTCTACCAATCCATGAGCATGGGACATGTTTCCATTTGTTTGTGCCATCTCTGATCTCTTTCAGCAGTGTTTCGTAGTTTTCCTTGTAGAGGTCTTTCACCTCGTTGTTTAGGTATATTCCTAAGTATTTTATTTGGAAAGGATGCCCTATTCAACAAATGGTGCTGCAATAATTGACTAGCCACATGTAGGAGAATGAAACTGGATCCTCATCTCTCACCTTATACAAAAATCAACTTAAGATGGATGAAGGACTTAAATCTAAGACCTGAAACTATAAAAATGCTAGAAGATAACATTATTAAAACTCTTCTAGACATTGGCTTAGGCAAGGATTTCATGACCAAGAACCCAAAAACAAATGCAATAAAAACAAAGATAGATAAATTTCTGGGACTTAATTAAACTAAAGAGCTTTTGCATGGCAAAAAGAACAGTCAGCAGAGTAAACAGACAACTCACAGAGTGGGAGAAAAATCTTCACAATCTTTACATCTGACAAAGGACTAATATCCAGAATCTACAATGAACTGAAACAAATCAACCAGAAAAAAAAACAAACAATCCCATCAAAAAGTGGGCTAAGGACATGAATAGACAATTCTCAAAAGAAGATATACAAATGGCCCACAAACATATGAAAAAAATGCTCAACATACTAATGATCAGAGAAATGCAAATTAAAAGCACAATGCAATGCCACCTTACTCCTGCAAGAATAACCATAATCAAAATCAAAACATAGTAGATGTTGGCTTGGATGCAATGAACAGGGAACACTTCTACATTGCTAATGGGAATGTATCAACTCACTAGTACAACCACTATGGAAAACAGTGTGGAGATTCCTTAAATAACTAAAAGTAGAACTACCATTTGATGCAGCAGTCCCACTGCTGGGTATCTACCCAGAGGAAAAGAGGTCACTATACGAAAAAGATACTTGCACATGTATGTATATAGCAGCAGAATTCACAATTGCAAAAACGTGGAATAAATCCAAATGCCATCAATCAACGAATGGATAAAGAAACTGTGGTGTGTATATATATATATATGTATATTATATGTCATATATATGTATATGTGTATTATATGTCTCATATATATATGATGGAATACTACTCACCTATAAAAAGGAATGAATTAATGGCATTCATAGTGATCTGGATGAGACTGGAGGCTATTATCCTAAGTGGAGTAGCTCAGGAATGGAAAACCAAACATCATATATTCTCACTCACAAGCGGAGCTAAGCTGTGAGGATGCAAAGGCATAAGAATGACGCAATGGACTTTGGGGACTCAGGGGAAAGGGTGGGAAGGGGACAGGGGATAAAAGACTACAAGTAGGGTGCAGTGTATAGTGCTTGGGTAATGGGTGCACCAAAATCTCACAAATCACCACTAAATAATTTACTCATGTAACCAAACACCACCTGTTCCCCAATAACCTATGGAAATAAAAAATAATTTTTAAAAAGAGTCATCAAAGAGTTTGCTTTCTCTCTGCCATGTAAGGACACAGTGAGAAGGCAGCTCTCTGCAAGCCAGGAAGAAAGCCCTCACTAGAAATGGAATTGGCTGCAACCTTGAGCTTGGACTTCCCAGCCTTCTGACTGTGAGAAAATAAATTTCTATTGTTTAAGCCACCCAGTATATGCTATTTTGTTACAGTAGC